TTTGATGATCTGTCAGATAAGATATAGCCCGACAGGGATCCATCGCAAAATTCCGCTAGAGCTGCTAAGTTTATTGAACCCAAAAAACTGCAAAACAAATGGAAATCAAATGAGAGCTAATGTGGCTAGCTGATGTATATAGAATGGGCGGTGCAGGGTGGTGGCTGTGTGGTGCTAAAGCTCAACTAGCTGCCAGCTGGAAACATTTGATAGACGAAACGATCAACAATTTGATGATAGCCCAACTGGGCCCGAAGATCTAAAACATTTAACAGTTCATCTATGTCTGTGTGAAACATTTGAACAGCCAACGCGTTAAATACAAATGTTGCCAAACAAATGTTGTAGTTGTTGTTGTTGTAGCTGTTGCTGGCGTTAAGCTCTTAGTTTATCTCTTTATAAGAACATCGAGGCGTGCCGTGTTTGTAACATGTTGCAGAGTTGTTGCTGTTGCTGTTGCTGTTGTTGTTGTAATGCGATTACACAAAACATAAATAAAAACGCAGCTGTTTGAATTGCACAAAAAATAAAAAGAGAGAGATGGGTAGAAAGAGGGAGAGGGAGATATATGTGTGTGTATATATAGAGACCATGCAGCTTGGCTGAGGGAAAGGCAGCCAAGCATTTAATTAACATTTAAATTGCTGTGCTTGAGGAGCTGTTACTTTAAATTACGGCAGCCAAAAGATGAAAAAAATGTATCTTAAGCACCAACACACCAACAACGGCTGCGTGTGTGTAAACAGGTTCGAGTTAAACAAAAATCTGTGAAGAGAGACAAAATTAATGCCCACGATAATTAAGCAATTGCAATATGTAGAGAGGCTATAGTCAGCATCGGCGGCAGTAACAGCAACAGCAGCAGCAGCATAGACCGCCACACCCCGTCACTGCCCGCCTGGCCATTCCTACACCAAATGATTAATGGAGAAATGCAAAAGTTTTATTAATAAAACGACTCTGGCGTTGTTCCCGGAACAATTCTTAGACAGCGTAAAAGCAAAGACTCGAGCCAGACCATTTGCCAGATCGTCATAGAAAAACACACTTAGTATATATATATTATATATATGTATAATTTTCTATATTTGTACAGTGCGCATACGCATTGATGAACTATTTGTCAACTATATCTGATATTTTCATTTATTTTTCTTTAATTATTTCGATATTTGGTTGTTTTGATTTTAATTTAATTATTTTTATATATTCGTATTAATTAATATTTGTTTAATGTTTAAAGTAATTAAATTTATTAAAAGTTTTATGATTTAGTGATAAAAAAGCGGTTGATTGCTTATATTGAAACTATAACTGAACAAAAACTGAAAAATTTGAAAAAATTTTGAAAAGGTTGGAAAAAATGTTTAAAAAATGTTTGCAACTTGGAAAACTCTGAAATAATTTACTGAAACAATTTTTACTTTTAAAATTTAAAATATATAATATATAATTTGGAAAACTTTCAAAATATGTTGAAAAACCGAAAAAATGTTTAAAAAATTAAAAAAAAGTTAAGAAACTTAGAGAAATGTCAAATATTTAAAAACATAATAAATTTAACATTTTCTATTTTTCATTTAATATATTTTAAAGATTTCAAAAACTTTTAGATAAATTCGAAAAAAAAAAATAAAAGAAAAGAATAATAAACATACTTAAAAAAATGTTGAAATACTTAAAAAATAATTTATTAAAATCTTTTTATTTTTCATTATTTACAAATTCGAAAAAACGTTGAAAAATTCTGAAAAAATATTTAAATTTTGATAAAAAAAAACTTTGTAAAAATTTGAAAAATAATTTGAAATTTAGTCGTAATGTTTATCTAGTCAATAAATTCAGTAACATAAATGTACTTGAAGCAGGGTGAAGAAAAGTTGATATATTTAATGAAGCATTATTTATGACATACACATATGGGTGGATCTTTGTATAAGATTATAATATTTAGTCATGTGACATTTATAGCGAGTGTTTACTGTTTGTCCTATGTGGTCATATGTGCTTATATCTTCAGCATATATAGTTATATATATGTCTATAAGCGTATCTCGTCTGCTTCTCGCATCTCTTGTGATTCATTGGCCATAGCTCATGTCTGGGTCAGTCAACACACACACATGGACAACATGAACACCCACAGCTTTGTGGTGTGTGTGTGTGTGAGTATGTTTCAGTTTGACAAAAATAAAGTTGACATTTTCATGCTGAGAATGTCGCTGTTTTTTCCGTCTTCTTCTTATTCTGTCGACGCAGTGGCATGCAGCATTTAGCTCTGTGATTTATGTGCTGGGAAAACAGATCAATAACATTTAATACACACACTAATTTCCTCTACCCACTCACACACTCACAGACATACATTTGACTTAAGATATTTATGGTCAAAATTCCACTGAAGCAGGTAAACTTGATTTATCCAGCGTTTGTTCCTTATGGCCAATGCCATCTATTAATTAGAAATATATCAAAATATTTTTGCGCTCTGGCTCTTTTATTTAAAGCCCCAACTCCGTGTCCGTTCCCACCGTGCACGGTGGGCGCGAATTGATTTATCTCTGCCTTGAACGGTTTTGGCAAGCCCCCGACGCGTCGGTGGGCCCAGAGGCAAGACAAGGTCAAGGCGAGTTGTCAACGCAGCTTTGAACTTAGATTTCAATGGAAAACGCTAAGCTAATGTCTTAGATATATATATAAATATTTTTATTTATTTTTTATTTTTTAATTTTTGTGTCTGCAGTTTCGATTAAGCGAAACCTTTTTTTGCGTTTCGCGGAAGACTCGCACAAGTTATGACAACTCAGCTGGCATTTTGACCTGACTAAGAGACTTTTTTGGTGGCCAGCCTGACTGACAGTTGGACAGAGAGACAGTCAAGCCTCTTTGGTTTTGGGTTTGGGTTTGGGTTTCACTTACTAAGCGGCTTAGGGCCGCACCTGATGAGCCAAGGCAGAGCAGCTGAACTCCTGCGGTTGCCGCTCTCTTTTCTGAATCTTGACTTTTTGCTTATTTACTTCATTATGCTTTTTTCGTAATTTTTCCTTAGCTGCAGCAATTGGTAATCGTGCTGTGGCTGCTGTCATTGAGCATTTTCAATTTTACTTGAATTGTTTTTTAATTTGCCTATTAAAAGGGGTAGCATGTGGGGTATATTGTTGATAAGAGGCAAATAGCTTTGTCAATTTTGACAAGTGGTTAAAGTTTATTAGAAATGATCTAGGATAAATCGATAAATATCGATAGACAGGTTAGTTTATGGTAGAAAAACTAAGTCTCTTAGTAGGTTGACATTATATAAATGGAAAGCCTAAGTAATTGATCATATGTCGAAGTTGATTTAAAGTTCTCTTAAGAATTTACTCTTTTAACTTTTTTAGCATTTATCGATTTCTAGTAGTTTACAGGGTATTTGTTCGTGTAGAATTCTAGCCAAATTGACTACCATTCGCTATGTAATTGGAGCAGCAACAACAACAGCCAAAATAACATTTAAGAGACACAAGTGTAACAGATGTTAGGCCAACTTGAAGTTTAATGAGCTGCGTCATAAATTCAATTTGATGTGTGCCTGAAGCAATGAATATTAATAAGCTCACTGAGCAATTGGAATTGAAATGAAAATGGTTATTAGAGTGGCGCAGAGGCGAGAGGCGTGGGCGGGGCGGCATGTTGACAAATGATGTGCCAACGGCATGAAATATATTTCGATATAAGTGTCGGAGGCGACAACAAAGCATTGCCAAAAAAAAGAGGATCACTTCCGGCTACGCTTCAATTAATTTCAGGTCAGTTGCCGGTTCAGTTAACTGTTAACATGTTCTTTTGTTGTAGCTAAGCAACAATAACATGCATAATATAAATAATAATAATAATAATAATCGAAATCACTGGCTACAAATTGCCTTTGTCTCCCGCTCTCTGTGGGCTCATTCAAGTGCATCCACTCGACCATGAAAAGAGCAAAAAAATGAATACATGAAACACTCACTCGCTGACAGCTTTTGAACTTTTGAATGCCCTTTGTGTGTGCCTATAGAGTATACCGTTTAGCTGAGGTGAATAACTGCACTGAGTTATAGTAAAGTTATTTTTTAAGATATTTTTCTGCTTAGCTTGAAGATACTTTTCCAATGTATTTTTTGCTCTATATATATCTGATCATATGCAGGCTTAGCTGGGAAGCTATATTTAGTTGTATTTTCAGTGATATTTATGTTAAGCAAACAGCACTGTTATATATCATGTAAAGGAAATGTCTTCTGCAAGCAAGCTGTTAGAAAATGTTATATTAACATTTCTGTTAGCTTTTAACATTTCTATTTATTTCTTTGTTACAGCCTTGTGTGAAGCTCTTAACATTGAAGTTACAGAATGTTATTGTTGTCGACTCTGTTAGTAAGCTCAATCCATAGTTCCACACGTAGCACGGCAACACTGTTTCACAATGAACCTACTTAACAGAATGTTTATGATTTCGTACTGGTATGGAAATTTTGCTACTTTTGTGAACAGCACAGCAACACTGATTCTATGAGCTTAACAGAATACTATACAAATTGTAAGATTTTAATAATGGTAATGCAACTGCAACTTGCAACACAGCAGCACTGGTAACTGCTGGCAGGCAAATGACGTCTCATATGTTCCATATTAGCAGACATAACTTAGTCAGACACTTGCGATAGCTTAACAGACTGACGCTACGAAGCTATGCCTACTCGACTTCCTTTAGGTTATACAAACTTGAACAGCTTGAGTCAGGTCGGCTCGGCTTGAGTACGATGATGGACAGTTCGGCGCGCTGGGTAGACAAAGGAATTGTTAATGAGCAACGAGGATACTCGTTATAGAGACAGCAGCGAAACGGACAGCAACTTGTGATCCGTGTTGCTGCTTACATTAAGCGAGTGGCTAGGAATTTGAATGAGTTGGCGGAGCGAAAGTGAATGGCTGTTCACTTAATAAAGCTATATCTCTTCCTCTTTGCAGTTACACCTGGGCTCATGACGACGATGACGATGATGTTGATTCGCTGCACAGTTTCGCTGCTGCTGGCTGTAACGGCAGCGGCGACGGTGGCAACAGGTAGCCAGAACCATAGCCATCACAACCACACCCGCTTGCACCACATCGGACATCGATTGCATCGACAGCGTCATCTACACAATGCGGTCAAGTCAGAGGTGGAGCTGCTGCCGGGCATGTCAATGCCCCCAATCAGTCGTGGCACGGACAACACGCGACTGCGTCGTCTACACCATGCGCACCACCCATACAACAAGGTATTAACACGTCGCCTCCATCAGCGACCCACCGAGTGGGATTATAACACATACAACATTTATACAAACACCTTTGGACCGCCGCCACCGCCAGTGCCGCCCGTTTCGCCGTACGCGGGCAAGGGCGAGGATAATACGGGCGATGTGGAGTTCATTGGTGTCACCGGACGGGGGCGTGGCAACGAGTATGTGCCGCCAATTACGACTGCGGCACCGCCACCGAATCTCAACCGTCGCGCAGTCACGCCCGGCTTGAGCATGGGCACGGTGCCGCCGCTGGTGCCGGCGAGACGTGGTTACAGCTACACAACCACAGCGCCCAGCACAACTACCACCAGCACCACGAACAGTCCCACCACCGAGGACCCCTATGAGACGAATACAATCAGTCGCAATTATCCCACTGATGCCAAGGAAATGGAGCGGTAAGTTGAGCAACTAGCAAGGCGCAATACCCTGTATATTAGGGTACTTAAAGGGTGTATTGTAGTCACATATAAATATGTGACAGGCTGTAGAAGCAGAAAGTTCAACTGGCTTTAGCTGATTTAGTATATATATCATATATACATATAAATCAATTATCGATTGTTTTTAATTGTTAAACAGTTATCGATCTTAGTTGATTATAGGGTATGTTGCTGTTCAGCATCAGCTGCCAGCGAGAAGAGCCAAAAAAGATATATTAGGCTGCATTGATTTATCAATGCTAGTTTGCTGACTCTAAAACGATATATATCGATTATTAGCCTAGATTTACTTACAATTTGGAGTATAAAAGCAAGTAAGCTTTGAAGATTATTGGATGTTTTTAACAGCATGAGGTTAAAGCAGTTGATCAAACTGTGTAATACCCTGTAAATATATCTCATAATGATATATACAGAAAAGGAAAAAGATGATAAGAGCAAGTAAACAGTGATGAGTATAGGAGTTACTGAACACCATCAGATAAACTGTGTAATAATACCCTGTAAATATATAGCAAACATAGTTTATGTCGCAGTTCTGCAAATGTAATAAAGATAAGAAGAAATAATAGCTGGTAATTAATCTTATTGTATTCCTTTTATCGCCTCCCTCAGCTGCTTGTAACTCGAAATACTCTGTAGAGGCTAGGATAGAAGGTGAAAAGAATATTTTCTCTGTGCGTCTGTGAATGGATGTATAAAAATATATGATTTCCTCTATTTGGCCAATATCGATAAATATCGATAAGTATCGATTTTATTAAATATGATTTTTGAGCATTTTTTAACTAACTGTGTCCCTGAATAGCAAATATAACTTTACTGCAGTTGTGCCCCTGCTGCCTGCAGGGTATGCTCGTAGTCGCATCAGTTTACGGTGCGCTCTTTAGCTGGGCGTATGCAATTGCATTTAGTCGTGGACCGGCCCAGTCCACTATTCAAGGCAACGCAAGCGATAAATTTTCACCTTTACCTTTAGCTTTAGCTGTTGCTGTGCTGCCTGGCTGCCTGCTTGCCCCTAAGCAGAGAGCTTATCTGAATGCTCATAAATTATTTAAATGTGAAATGTTTCAATGTCGCAAGACGCAGCCCAACGAGCACCAACTGCTGACGCTGACGTTGCCGTTGTTGCTGCTGCTGCTGCTGCTGCTTCCATGGCTGCTCCTCTATGGTCGCTTCAAATGTCAGCCTTATTAGCTTCAAGGCTAAGTGGCTGGCGAGTTGTTTCAATTGTTATGTCAATTGCAACAAATCAATGCGCACTTGTTGTTGTTGTTGTTGTAGCAGTCAAGACTCCTTTAATGTAACATGCCACAAAGCCAAAGTAGTGAACTAAGATTGCGTCCGGCATTGACTTGAACTGGAGAGTTTCAAGAGTTCTGCGTCAAAGTCTCGCTGTGTAAGGTAATGAACTTTAACGAGTTTTCAATTGGCAACGCTGATACTTTGTAATTGGAATTAATGTGCGTCTACTTAAGGGCCGTTGCATGCCACGCCACAGTCGCAGTCGCAGTCGCAGCTCAAATGCCAAATGGCAATCAACAGTCGACAGCGGCAATTGCCATTTGCCAATTGCCATACGTTGCGTATGCGCAATCTGCAACGGCAGCAGCAGCAGAGCAATTGAAGGTGTTGCTCTGCTTGTTGTTGTTGCCGTTGCTAGTTATGACACATTTTGATTTATGTGGCAGCTACAGCTACAACAACACCAACACCAACTGCCAAAAACCGCCAGCAGGCATATAAAACATTCGCATCATCAGTCATAAATTGCTGCCACACTGCACAGTGGCACAAAATGCAGCTAGGCTAACCTTAACCAGATAAAATTAAGTTATGAGAGCCATATACCCAATATAGTCTACATACACTATATACTCTATATACTCCATATATTAAATATACTCCATATACTCTATATACACTGTATACTCTATATACTCTATATACGTTATATACTCTATATATTCTATATACTCTATATACGTTATATACTCTATATATTCTATATACTCTATATACTTTATATACTCTATATACTCTATATACTCCATATACTCTATATATATACTCCATATACTTCATATATTCCATATACTTCATATACTCCATATATTCCATATACTTCATATACTCCATATATTCCATATATTCCATATATTCCATATATTCCATATATTCCATATATTCCATATATTCCATATATTCCATATATTCCATATACTCCATATACTCCATATACTCCATATACTCCATATATTCCATATATTCCATATACTCCATATACTCCATATATTCCATATATTCCATATATTCCATATATTCCATATATTCCATATACTCCATATACTCCATATACTCCATATACTCCATATACTCCATATATTCCATATATTCCATATACTCCATATACTCCATATATTCCATATACTCCATATACTCCATATACTCCATATACTCCATATACTCCATATACTCTATATACTCCATATACTTTATATATTCCGTATACTTCATATATTCCACATATTCCATATACTTCATATACTCCATATATTCCATATATTCCATATATTCCATATACTCCATATACTCTGTATACTCCATATGCTCCATATACTTCATACACTCGATTTACTACACATCCTCCGTATATACACTATATACTCCACTAATAAACTACATAATCTGGATATATTCTACGTTTTGTCTAAATACACTATATAAACTCCCTAAATACTGCATATTTCGTAGTTTCTCAAATTTCATTTATCATATATGAATCGACTTTCACAGAGCTGCACAATTAGTTGATAATTTGCTTCGCTAGGATTCCGAATTCCTGTAATTCGATATGTGAACCACTGTGCTGGGCTCTTGTTCATGTAGGCGATAGTCACGGCAACAACAACGATAACAAATTTGATGGTGCCTTGCCTCTATTTCTATTTATTTAAGCGCTGCACGTGCAGCAGCAGGCAGCAGGCAGCAAAACTGCAAAGTTGCAGCTTGCAACTTGCAACTTGCTGGCTGCAAGTTATTTGCCGCGTGTTGCTGCAACAGTGGATATGGAAATGACTGCTCATATTGCATTCACACGCGCCCCCTCGCCACCCCGTTCCAAATGACCGAGTGGCTCTAATGGACAGGGCAACGTTTCAATTGCGATTGCCGCCGGGCTGTAATGCGGTGTTAATCAGCGTCATATATGCGCCGATTTGCTGATATAAAACTATGTTGAGTCCGACAGCTGTGAGTGATGGACCCACCAGATACCCTCTGGATAGACTTCAGCAGCAGAAAATATTTGTAAATAGTAGAAAATGAAAGAATATGTGGAAAGTACGGAGATTTATTATAGGGTCTACTATATATATATATATATATATATATATATATATATATATATACATATATATACATATATATATATATATATATATATATATATATATATATATATATATATATATATATATATATATATATATATATATATATATATATATATATATATATATATATATATATATATATATATATATATATATATATATATATATATATATACATATATATTTGTATATTTCTATATAGATACTAAGATTTTGGTCAAGAGAAGGCAGCCTATTTAAAAAAGTCTTATGCATATGCCATATGAATATTTAACACTTAGAAAACACTTTAAATTAGAAATTCTACTTTTTGTTGTATGTTATGAGGTTCGAATCCTGGCTAACTAAACAAAAAAACATAGATTTTCTTATAGTAATATTTATTGTAATGCAAAAAAATTTAATTTTTTTTTCTCGATTCGAATGAATACACAAATTCCCGAATCCCCGAATTCTTACTGAATTCGAACTCCGAATTCTCATCTGAATTCGAACCACGGGTCCCTCTAGACACAGGTCCCACTCTCTGTTAGTTCGCCACATTTGGCTATACGTTTTGGTTGTCGAATATCCTATATGAACTCAATCAGGAGAAATATTTCAAAATAAATAGTAGCTGCCGAGGGTTCGAGCCCAGGACCCTATCATAATTGGTGTGCCAGCACCGAGGCCATTCACATTTAAAATACAGTTACATATCTTGTATATATCCTATATACTTTTTCTGTTGCTTAAGAGCTCTAAAAGTTAAATACTTTCGATTTTAGTTGCCTCTACAATATACCCAACATTCTTAATGGGTATCAACAGCTGCCACACACTCTCTCTCTCTCTTCCTCTCTCTCTGTCGTTCTCCTCTGCTGATCTTTTCAATTTACTGCTGTCCTGTGCATGTTGCTCGCAATTTTTTGTTGTTGCTGCCTGTCGCAGCTGACAAATGATGGATGTCTTTTTTGTGATATTCGTGTGTGTGGCGCACGCTTTGATGGAGAATTTTGATTTGGATTTTTCCAGCTGGAATTGATTTTTGGCTGCATTAATTATGCGAGGTGTTTACTGTGGCAGCAGCCCACATAGAGCGCAATCGAAAGGCCACTTGCTGCATCTGGTATTGGTAACAAAGCAAAGCCTTGACTTCAATAGCAACAACATGCAGCCAGCTAGCTAGCATTTGCAACAATTGGCAACAAATGCTTAAATCAAATGAGACAACAATGCAAGCAGCAACAATTGCCACAACATTACAACAACGACAACAGCTGAGTTATGCGCACTTAAAGCAACTTTGTGACCCTAAACTTTGCCACAAGCCGAACGCACACAGCTGAGCAAATTGCTTGTCAACGATCGAAGGCGGCAGCAACATGGGGCATGCAACCAGCCAGAGCCAACCAGCGCCAACTGAAAACCCAGCTCAGAGTCTAGCCAATAATTACGTAGTCTGATTTGATATGCTGTGCCTGAGTTTTCCTATGCGCTCTGTGAAAATTCGTTAGGTTTTTTAGCGCTGCAGCGTGAAGCATTGGCCACGCCCACGCGTGCCTAAGCGTGGGCAACTGG